AGTCACAGTTCCTAATAAAATGTGCAGCGTGGGTAGCAAAGTCTAATAAACAACGAAAACACATAAAGAGTCCAATCAAAAGTAACACCTGAAGCTGTCAGCCATTGAAGTAGAAGAGTAAGTGAAAAAAACATAGCAATAATTACATAGCAATTAATGACAGAATAGAAATTATTGATAGTAAAAGAAATGTCTTATTTGCCAAAAACAATTTATAGATGAGCATGTGAGAGTACAATAACTGATACATAACAATTAAAATAAAATACATAGAAAATTGTAATGCGTAGCAAAAAGACGAGAAGTACATGAACAGAAATAAATACATAACAGCAATAGTAAGACTAATCAAAACAAAAATTAGTTCAGGTGACGTAGTACTGCAAGCGACCTTTCACAATTTTCTTTACTTTCATAGTCATAATTCAATACGGGAATTGTGCTGTTTTGCACTTCTGGCATTTTCATAAAGAATTTTTCAGCAGTTTTCAGCTGTACAGCTAAATTTCAGGAATATTAAGTTCGCTGTGAATTGTCGTGTTCCTAAGCAAACATTATCTGTAAAGCTTCTTCATTTAATCAACTGGGTTCCTTTGAACACTCTCACATCATTAAGAATTTTTCTTTTGTACTTAATGATATTAATTTTCCAATCTCGTTCTTCCTAATGCTTTCCAAATTTCTAATACTTCTACGTTTCAATACTATTTTGCTCAACACATTATGTTACATTCCTTCCTTTATAAAATCGTTTCGCTACTCCTACTACTGAAATTTCCTTTCCTTGTCATGAAAAATTTGAATAATGCAATAACAAATTATTGTTATTTTTGAATTATACATTTTATAGAAACATTGGTAGTGAAGGTTTAGTTTAGAAAATGTATTTTGTTATTAAAAACAATTAAAAAAGAGAATTTTTAAGACAAGCAAAGCTTTAAATTATTTGTGATGTCTATAATCAGCAGTTATTATCAACATTTCTTAGATAAAAATAAACAGCTCATATAATGTCACGGTAACTTATCTGTTTCCGGTTACATCTGCATCGCTTCTGTCTTTCGAAATCCAGCTTTTACCAATATGTCATATAATCATGTGATGGTTATGGCTGTATTTCAACAGAACTGATAACATCGCCATAGTGCAACACATCAGTTATAATCGGTACTGACCCGTCTTTTGTAAACATTTTTACTTAACACTTTTCGCCATACTGAACCAGCTGAACAATACTTTAGTATTTAAATTTGGAACATTCTTCTCACTTCCTAGCAACACAGTTATAAAGAGCTAGAGCCTAAAAAAGCAATATTTAATTGGAAGAGACTGGTTACATATTAAGTAAAACGGTCACTCTCTTTCTGATAGGCCAAGCATAAAGTTGCCGAGCACTGGTAGTTTGGTTCGAATTTCGAATCAAGCAAGCGGACTAGCTGCATGGGTGTTTTCGTAGTTTTCCCCACGTTTAACGTGCATACGAGTCAGTTTTCCTTAGAAAGTCCTCCATGAAGGTATCCCTGCCCTTAGGCAGATAGCCCTCTGGCTTTGCCGTAATTACATAAACCGAACAAACCCAATCTACTTCTGTTAGGTGGTCGCATTGACACGAGGCACGAATTTCTGGGCCGGAGCCCTATCTCAGATTAATAAATATACGATGCCTAACGTGCAGATAGCATTCTGAGGGTGTAAATAGCATTTCAGAAAAAGAAGTAGTAGTGTGGCGAGGAGTAGGGCGAATTATGCTATTTTCCTGAAAAGTGAAAGGAATTAATTTTGAACAGTGAATGAAAAGGAAATTTCATTAGTTGGAAAAGTGAAATGACTTCATATGGGAATGAATGTGTAGCATGATCTGTTGAGCAAAGTAGGAATGAAATGTGAAAGTATTAGAAACCTGAAAGCATTGGTAACAGCAAGTGTTGGCTAAATGTCCTTGTCGGCTAAATGCCCTGTTGGGTAAGCGTCCACATCGACTAAATGTCCGTGTCGGCTAACTGGTGTCAGTTGTGTCCTGTTGGCTAAGTGTCTGTGACCGATGCTCAGCTGCATATGGCCGACAAAAAAGTAAAGTAAACATAATTACCCGCGGGAAGTTTGCAAAACCGAAAGGCCTAACAAAATAGCAAGAAATTCAAAGAAGTCAAAGAAGCAAACGAAAGAATACAGGTTCCGAAAAAGGTTAGGTTATTATAAAGAGGCTTCACTTCCTTCAGAATTGCCCAGAACAATTGATGTAACTATAGTAAGATCTCCACCAACTTTCACCGTCGACAATATAATACATAAATACCTAATTTTATTATATGTAACACTATAATGCATAGTGCTAATTTCTTTATATAATATTTTTTATGTCTGATTTAGTTTCTATATCAGTAGAATTTTAAGAAACAAACTACAGTACAAAGTCCGAAATCCGGACTCGTCGGGACTTCGGCAATTCCGGATATTAGATCATCAGTTTAAATCTAGTAAGATGGCATGTAGAAATTATAAATATGAAATCCTGATTTATGATTTATTTTAAGTATTTATGATTTAAAAGGTATCAAAATTTACAAAGAAAAGAGAAAAAAAAAAAAAAAAAAAAAAAAAAAAAGCTTAATATTTATTTAAACTTATTATACCTTATTAAACATTTCTTTCAATGTAAGTTCTTTATGTTGCTTCGTTTTATGTGCTAATATTTTCTCTTTAATTCTGTAGACAGACATAATCTTTAGTTACATTGTTGAAGTCCTGTAACTGCTGTTTCGAGAATTCCAACTTGTCAATCAAAATTTTCTCATTTTCAATAACTTCTCTGTCACTTTCTTCACTATTTGTAGCGGCATTTTCTGGATCTAGAACCCATACTACAGATTTCGCCATTCATTAATTGATTGATGATTGAGAAGCATTGTCATCACAATGAAAAACTTCTTTTATATCATCTTCATTTATTACCGCTTCTCCACATTTCTTTACAAAATCTGCTAATTGGAAAATTTCACCTTTGTTTTGCGATATCCGAAAACCTTTAAAATTAGCGCTATCATCATCAAATTTAACTATCCTTCACTATACAGATTTGGCTATGCATTATGAGTTTGGCGATTAATGACAAGTTGTTCCGTTAAATTTTATCTTGCTTCTATCGAGCGCTGTGACAATTAAGCCTGAATTGTATTAGTTTAGTTATTTATTATACTTAGATCTATTTCTTGCACATGCTTATCAGAGTTCTGAATAAATAAATTCCCAAATATACTTAAACTTTATTGAGGGCCGGCGCTAGATATCTTACTGCCTGATGCCGTCTCTGTAGGTCCTAAATTCTGCGACTTAGTGTGACCATATGAGCTCTGGTGCTGGTTATGGGGTTATGTGAATAACAAATCAGTTATTCTTAATTCAAATAGTCCTAAGTGTAATCTTTGGGTCTATGAGTATCATCAACAAAATCTATTTTTAGCATATGGAAAGAAATTTTTGGTAAACTCGTCAAAACTTTTTAGTGCATTTAACTTATTTAATCTATAATCATCGCCAAGCGTTAACATAAAAGGTTACCATACTCCTTTATTATTCAATTACTAACATAAGAAAATTGTTTAGGCAACACTACATGAGTCATTACTCAAGTTGTCATGTTTTGATAAACATGCAGTGATGAAAAGAAAGTACAATAAATAGTGATTTGCCAGGTTGGCGTCAGATCAACAATGTATCTATGTGGAATGTTTCGGTTTTAGATGTGTGCCAAGCAGATACGCAGCAACAGAGCCAAATTACTGATCGTACAAATGTATGCTAAAATGATTTTCTTCAATAACACGGTATTTTATTTAGTGTCGAAGTGAAATTAAGAATCGGGACTCTCCAGATGTTTCATTATGCATGGAGCGGACAGTCAAATGCGCATGCGTTAAGCCTACGAGAAAAACACTGTTGGTGGTTTTCAAGTCCAGATTTTCGATCATTCCGGATAATGGACGTCTGGATTTCAGACTTTGTACTGTACATGAATTTGCATTAATACAGTAAACCATCACTAAGATGGCCAGTCACAAATTCAAATCATTTTTATTATGTGAATGTGCTAATATTGGAGAGATGATATTGAAAATTTTTAATTTAAATTCTCAAAAATACTGGTCATTTTCGGAAATGTTTATCTGTGGGGGAAACTTCGTTCATAGATAGCACTGCAATTAATTATGAAATTTTGCATGCCTTCCACCATTTCAATATATATATCTAAAAAATTTAATGAGAGTGGTATTGGGGATAATATTACTACACAATAGATGGTGTAGGTTTTAAAATATTAAAATTTGTAACAGATGGCGTGAGACATTCTTTAAACAGAACACCTGCTCTCCATCAAGTAATGTGTTATTCACCCAAACATAAACATTCATTTCCTTTTCACAGGTCCATGTGAGTATATATATATATATAAAACCTCTTTTGTTAGGACTTGAACTCTTCATGCTAGTAATGTAAATTAAAATATCTCTCATTTTTATTCTTGTTTGAGTGTTACTTCATGAATAAATTCATATTTCATTGTCTTAATTATTATCTCCAAGATGTTTTTAATTATACTGAGGAAATATGTTATAAACCTTTATTTCATTTTATATGGATATCAATACAAATATATGACTCTTAAGGCTCAGGTTTAATCTTTTAATTACAAATATTTAAAGGATGCACAACAAACAAGTTGCAGCATATTTTAGAAAGAATCTACTATTTGGTACTCTTGGCATAACATATTTGTTGCTATATTGAACTTTTTTTTTATTATTATTATTTACTTTTTTATTCTGTTAACTTTTCTAATACCTTATTAGAACAATTATTTTGGCCTTCTTAAACATGGTGTATTGCTAATAATTATAAATTTTATTCTGTCATAATTATTTATATTCCTTAAATGCATATGCACAAAAATTAAGGAAAAAAAAAAAAAAAAAAAAAAAAAAAAAAAAAAAAAAACACCCCACTGTCCAAAATGTATAAGTTTATTTACAGGCTATGCATGAAATACAAATGTCAACTTTCCGATTCTTTATTTTCTCCACATTTTGCACACACTTTTAGTTTTTCACTGCATTCTGTACAAATAGTGTGATAAGCAAATTTCACAGATTTTCCTCCACATTTAGTGCTAAAATGATAAAATGTATGGAAATTTTAACAACTGAATTAGTAATAGCTTAAAAACAAAAAGGAACTTAAACATAAAAACATTATCAGAACACAATGAAACTGCTCTTAAAACAACATCTGAATAAATTCTAAATGTAAGGAACAATACATTTCTCAGAAATAATTAAAGATTGTCATTTTCAGTAAAATTATAATTTTGAGAAGAAAGAAATATAATAAATGCTTTTATTAAATATAATGAGGAGTTATTATCTTCTTTCCAGTACAAGTAAAACACATAAAGCTTTATACTTCTCTTGATACTCTTTCTAGAACAATATTATCCCTCATCAAGTCTAAAATAAAAGTCACTTATGTAGAAAATGCATAACTATATTGTTAGGGTTTTTGTATTGATTTAGCTATTTTTAAATAAAATTACTTAAAATTGTTTTATATTACTGTACAGTGCAGCATGAGACTTATTTGAAGAAAAAGCTACGCCAGAAAAATTAAAAATACAGGAGCGCGCGCATTCAATAAACATATATCTTGTAATTGTACGCTTTTGCTTTTTGGGAAAAATCGAGAAAATACCAGAATATTCTCGTGCTGATTAAAAAGCTTATAAAAAGAGGGAGGAAAACATCTCAGTTCAGTTGTTTATTTATTTATTTATTTATTTTTTGCTGTTAATGAGTGTAGCGAATTTGCAGTGAAATCGGATTAGCTTTCTCTGTTTTGAATTGAGTTCTGTTGAACGTTCTAGTAGTTACTACTGCTAGTATAACTACTGGAGATATTGCACTATTGTATGCATATCTGTAGGAATTTAAGCATTTTGTTTTATTTGTTGTGATAAAAATAAATTTTATTCACTTTTCATCAGACTTGTGCATTCAATTTATTACGAACCCATACGCACACAACACTTTTTGGTGTCAGGATTGGGGTATTGAATGTCAATCACAAAAGCGATGGAAGAACAGTTGACGCAATTCATGGCAGCCTTTACTGCATTTAAAAAGAGATGAACGATTCTGTTAAAAAGGAGATGAAAGCTAGCCAAGAATCCATTAAAGAAAAGATTGAACCTGATTCAGTAAAAGAGAGAGATGAAAGCTATTGAAGTAGAATTGAAGGCTGTTCAGGAAAAGATTGAAGCAGGTCAAGAAGAAATGAAAAGAGAAATTACCTGCACAATAGAAAACACATTTGGGGCTATGGAAGGCAGAATTGACACTGTTGAAAATAAAACTGGACACACAGAAGAAATTCTTTCTTCTAACAAATAGAAGCGAGAGTTTCTGTCGTGGAACAACAGATTGATGACAGGGTTACTGGGGTCACCAAAGAAGTTGACGCCTTGAAGAAATTCTCAGTGACTGCAGTGAGCAATCGTGATGGTTTTAAATTTTTATCTATGCTTGCTCGTCTTTCTCTGAAGTTATCCACGTATGACGGAAAGAAATCCTGGAAGGTGTACAAGACCCAATTTTGAATAGTGATGGAAGCGAATGGATGGGATTCCCAGGCTAATGCCTGTCATCTCGCCGCTTCTCTGAGAACAGACGCAGCGGATATCATTCAAACTTTCTTAGAAAACCAAAGGCTAGATTTTTGAAGCTCTATCCGGCGGATTGGAGCTGTGCTTTGGCGAGAAATGTTTAAGACTAGAGCAGACTTCAATTAAAATCATGTCAACAGCAGCCAACAGAAACACTCCAGAAGCTTGCCACAGATGTTGAAAGGCTGTCCCAGCTCGGCATTTTGGAGTGTCTGACAGAAAGAAGGGAAATCCTGTCGCTGCAATATTTCATTGACGGCATCAGGGATCCTGAAATACAGAAAGCACTGAGAATGACGGATCTGAAGGACTTAAAAAGTGCTCTGGTGTACACTATGAAATTTGAGGCAGCCCAGCAAGCAACTCGTAGACACTGACACACAATCAGAGCTGCACAGGTTTAAGAGCCAGTGGATCAAATGGCTTTTGGCCTAGACGATTTAATGAGACAAGTCAATGCCTTGAGACAGAATAAGAGTAAGAAGAAACCAACCCTAAAGTGCTGGAACTGCAGTGCTGAAGGGCACATACGAAGAAACTGCAGAACACCCCCCCCAGGCCACGGATGTTAAAACCACTCCTAGCAAGCAGTAGGGAAACTAATTAGGGACCATCTCGCGGGGTGGATGTTGCCAAAGAATGAAAAGCCCGAGTTTAAAGTGCTTCAGATTTCTGCAGTGACAGCCGGCAGTAATGTATTTTTCATAATAGGACATATTAATGGAGTTCCCTTCAATACGATGATAGATACGGGAGCCAACGTTACCATCATCCGAAAAGATTTGGTTCAACAACTGGGAAGGAAATTTATCTCGAGGCCGCCCTGCTTTACCCTAAAGACTGCGTCCAGTGAGAAGATCAACACTGACGAAAAAGTAAATGTTAACATCACATTTGGAATTGCCGCGTACCATTACACAGCATATGTAGCAGATATTACAGATCCTTGTATACTTGGATTGGACTTTCTAAGGAAATACAATTTTTCCTTGGACTTTAACGAATTGCATTCTGACTCTGAGTACATAACGTTATTTCGAATTAATGATGAAGGAATTAAATCTGTCAACAAAATCACAGCACAAGACAATCCCACAATACCGGCAAGAACAAAATTTTTATTTCCTCGATCCATAGCAGATAACACAAATTTCCGCTATGGCATCATAGAATATCCCAAGAACTGTAACAGCCCAAAAGGAGTACTTGTAGCCTCAGCCTATCGTGAACCGTTATCCTGGTGAGAGTTGCCAACGTAACTGAAAAGGAGAGAGTTATTAAAAAAGGTGAAGTGGTTGCAGCATGTACCCTAGTAAACCAGCGTTAAACGAAACATTAACACTCCAGAATCCATGTCTTCAAAGAGCATTACATCAGAGTTATTGCAGAATGCACAATTAAACAATGAGAGAAATGCTGCTGAGCGTGTCATTAAAGATCTTCAAGATGTGTTCTCCCACTCGTCTTCTGACGTGGGTCGAACCAGTTTGATGCAACATAGAATCAATAATGGTGATCAAGCAACATCCAAGGCGTCTGCCGATTGCTAAACAGGAAGAGGTAGCAACACTTTTAAAAGACATGTAAGAAAGCGATGTTATTGAGCCTTCAGCAAGTCGATAGGTATCTCCCATCGCCCTGGTCAGAAAGAAAGACGGTTCAACTAGATTTGCGTTAACTATCGGCGGTTGAATGAAGTTACGAAGAAAGACAGCTACCCTCTTCCAAGAATTGATGATATTCTGGACACTCTTTCTGGAAACAAGTGGTTTTCAATGCTTGATGTAAAGAGTGGATAGTGGCAGGTGGAGATACATCCTGATGACCGTGAAAAGATGGCATTTACTACTGGACAAGGACTTTGGCAATTCAAGGTGATGCCATTTGGACTATGTAATGTGCCGGCAACATTTGAACGTCTCATTAAAACTGTTTTGAAAGGTCTTTCCTACGAAGCCTCCTGTCTGATATACCTGGATGACATCATTGTCGGGAAGAGTTTTAAAGAACATCTAGAAAAGTACTTCAGAAACTAAAAGAAGCCAATCTAAAGTCGAGTCCTGCTAAATGCAAATTATTCAGACAGGAAATGACTTATCTCAGACAGCTCATCTCTGCTGAAGGTGTGTGCACAGATCCTGAAAAGGTGTCAGCCGTTAAAGCCTGTAAACGTCCAGAAAATGTTCATCAGCTGAAAAGCTTCCTAAGCCTTTGCATCTACTATAGGAGATTCGTGAAACACTTTTCTTCCACGGCAAGATCGCTTCACAAGCTCACAGAGAGCAAGCAAATGTTCTTGTGGATAACAGAATGCGAGGATGCATTTAACAACTTAAAGGAAGCTTTAACATCTGTTTCAATCCTGACATATCTCAGCTCGACAGACCATTTATTCTTGACACGGACGCCATCAATGAAAGTGACGGTGCTGTTTTGTCCCAAGAAACAGACTGCAAAGAACATATAGTGGCGTACTGGAGCAAGTGCCAGTCTAAACCGGAGATGAATTACTGTGTCACCAGGAAGTAGTTGCTTGCCATAGTGAAAGCCGTAGAACATTTCCATCATTATCTATACGGCAGAAAATTCATGCTCCGCACAGATCACGCATCATTGGCCTGGTTTTTAAATTTCAAGAATCCTGAACGTCAAATAGCCAGGTGGATACAGAGCCTCCAGGAATATGACATCACTATCCATCATCGGATGGGATAATCCTATGGAAACGCCGACACCCTGCCTAGAAAACCTTGCCCTGAAAGGTGCCAATAATGTTCCAGGGTTGAAGCGAAATATGAGCTGCTGAGTCTGGTCGCAAAACAAATTACATCAACATCGGCTGATCGAGATCTGTAGAGTGATGATGAAGTCAAGACAGACCAGCTGGAAAACCGTGACATTAAACCCATTATTGATTTAATGGAGTCATCAAACAGAAAACATACCTGGCAGGACATTTCTATCTATAAACCTACAACAAAACAATATTGGGCACTCTGGCATTCACTCCATATTTAAAATGGCGTCTTGTACTGCGAATTCGAATCGGATGATGGAAAACTATTCTGATGGCAACTGATACTTCCAAGGTTCCTGATGTCTTTAAAGAATTACATAGCAAACCTGCAGGTGGCCACTTTGAAATAATGAAGACCTTGCAGAGAGTCCAAGAGCGTTTTTACTGGAGTAATGCAGAGTGGTACAAAAGTGGTGCCGATCTTGTGATGCCTGTGCAGGTCAGAAGGGACCGAAGAAACTTAGCCGAGGTAAGCTGCAATGTTACAATCTTTTGAACGTATCGCCTTTGACACTTGAGGCCTCTGCCATGAACTGTTGATGGCAACAAATATAACCTCATTGTCGTTGATTACTTCACCAAGTGGCATGAAGCATATCCTATTTCAGGAGGCTTATTCTACGATGATAGGAAACATCTACAACTTGAGCGAACA